GTGGTATTGTACCATTAGTATCAAAAACTGGTATAGCACTTGGAAAAACAAAACAAGCATCAGCATGGAGATAAATAAAGACAATTACATTTCTTTTTTTGTTTGTTTGGTCGCATTTTGTATACAGATAAAGAAAGAAGAGAAAAAAAACATTAACAAAGAAACAGACTTTTATACTAGACACAACAAAGAAGAAATGAACAAAAGAAAAAACATTATTCTCTTTCCTTTTTTTTTAAGATCCATTTGTAGCAGAATTAGCCGTTGTTGTTGGTGGAGGAATTTCTCCTCGATCACCAGACATAGCTTCAATACCAACATCATCATTATATACATGTTCAGCCTATGAAAAATACAAAAAACAAAACAATTAGTATTTATTGTTTGTATAAAAATTAAATCAAAATTACTATTTGCCAAACTTGAGCCATATTATCTTCGGATACCGAACAAATAACAAATGGTTCATTTGGATTCCATGAAAAATCTGAAATTTTTGCCGCATGTCCACCATGAATAAACTATATTATATATAAAAAGAAAATATAAATAAGCTAAAATAAAATTTCTTTACCAATAATTCAGGTGGACCATCTTCAGCTTCAGTTGCTGTTTGTGATTGATTAATTCGACTAAATAAAATTATTAATTTAATCAAACACAAAAATAAAACACATTTTTCTTCTTCTACCTTAAATCCCATATATGAAGTCGTCGATCTGAACCACTTGATGCAAAAATAGTCTCATTTTGAGGTGACCACTGTGCCTAAATAATAGAAAATATATATTCAAAATATAATATTTGCATGTTTTACTTGAAATATTTCATCTTTATGAGATTCAAATGTTGCTAATTTAACTTTTAAATTTCTTAAATCCCATAAAGCAAGTGTTTTATCAGCTGAACCAGTTAGAAGAATATATTCCGAAAAAGGATTAAATGCAATCTAGAATAAAGAGAACGAAATTTCTTTTTTTGAATGAAAATTTCTATTACTTACACAATTGACTTCAGCTGCATGTGCATCAACAATATGACTTGCTTTTGAATAATTATTTGATCGTGTATCCCAACTAGAATTATTTATTTAAAATTAATTTTCATATTTAAATAAACTTACACCATCAATTTTTGATCATCACCTACAGAACCAAATATTGTTGGATGTGTACAATGCCATGCAACATCCTGAAAAACAAAAAACAATTTTTTTAAATACACAATCAATGTTTTATCTATAACGGAATAGGTTGCAAGAAACGTGAAAAATCCAAATTTCGATTCGATTTTTCAAGTCAATCAGTCTGATTTATTATAGGAATCGTTCAATAAGCAAAAATGGAGTAGCTTTCAAAAAAACATTTCGGATGTCTCTGTAAAAAAAAAGAAAGGTATCCCTCAAACTAGCCTCTGATTGGTTTGCTCCAACTTAATATTTTTCCGAATATGATCCGTAATTGATTAAGATAAGCGAAATGAATAATAGAGATAGTTTATTGTCTTTTTCTTATATGTTGAAAGAGTAAATGATATATGTAAGTAACAAACAAAGCAGACAAAGAGCCAATACGCCACGATAGACTTCATTTCTTTGAGAAAGAAATTTTTACCACATGACCAGTTTTGATGGTCAGTTATACTTTCTCTGAGCTCTCCTCTCTCATATGCTTCGAATAGATCAATCAGCATTTCATTAACGATTAGATCGACGTTTTGCATTGTAGAATAGTTTATGAATTTAAATTGTTACTCTTATTGATCGAAAGATTAATCAGAACTGGAACCCGTCAAGTTCAAAATTTGGAGAACCACTTTTCCATACTCTCAATGAAATTTTCTAATCGGAATTGAATAACCACCCAGAAGATAGGAGACACTTTTTTGTATTCCGTGAAAATAGAGCACTCGACACATTTCTCAGATGACTAGAGTCCATCGGATCGAAAAATCAAATTTGGATATGAATCGTTCGATAAGAATAAATATTTTTCATTGGTTATTTCATAATAATATTTTCTAATACAAAAATTTTTCTATAAAAAACATTTTCATACTTCAACAACCATTGAATGTCCAGTATAAATCGATAGAGCATCAAGATTTTTTCCTTCTTTTGGTTGCATATTTATATTCCATAAACAAACAGTATGATCATCAGCAGCACTAAGTAAATGTCCATTAGCATTTGAATTCCATGATAAACCATAACCTTCTCGAGTATGACCTTTAAGACGTAATTCAGGATTACAATCACCTGGTTGTTCTTTTCCTAATGGATGTGTATCAATATTAAATATTAATACATCGGATAATGGAGTTTTTGTTGCTATTATTTGAGGATTTTGTGGCATATAACGTGCACGATTAACTTCACCTTCATGATTTATTTTTAAATCAACTTCAATACGACCATTAATTAAACCAAAACCACCAAATTCAGCTTTTTCATTATCATAATGTGAACTATCTAATTCGAGATCTTCTTTTGGTAATTGTATACTAGCTATAACAAGATGATTTTGTTCATCAGATGTATGTGTACCAAGTATTAAACGATGTGTACTAAAATCTCGACCTTCTTCACTGAAAAAAGAAAAACGAAAGAAAATTAAGAATATATATATATATATATATAATAGATAACATACGTTCGAACATGAGGTAACCATTGTGTTGTTAAACTAGGCCATTCAAGTGCATGAGTTATAACAAGATTATATAGAAATGGTGCATTTTTTTTCCATATTTTATATTCTTCATTGATTGTTTTTTCTTCAATATTGTCTTCAAATTCACCTGAATAATAAAAAGAAAAAGAAACTATAAAATGGAATGAAATGAATTATTTTTATGTTTTTAATACCTTCTCCATTCTCTTTTTGAGCACCCATTATAGAATTTGTTGTTTATACAAATGAAAGAATTTTCATCGATCTATACATATAAGTTTTTGTCTCTTTGTTCACAATTAAGAAAATATTTTATTGGTAGAATTAATTGATGAATTAAAGACAAGTAACATTACTAATGTGTGCAATAGTGACATCTATTATTAAAAATATTTCAATTACATTCGACATAAGCTGTGCTTGTAGAAATTATTCTTTGTATAACATGATCTATCGCATCAATTAGTTAAAACTATATTGTATTTAAGATCTTCTTTTTAAACTAGAAAGATATTTGTGGTAGCGGCGGTACCAGAACTCTCGAACAGTAGATGCTCAGCTTCCCTCATACCTAGTGTGGAACCGCCGTTATCAACAACTTTAAAAACATTTCGAGAGCTCAGCTACCCTCTGCCTCCTTGTGATTTCGCCCAGAAATATTCATATAAGCACCTGTGAGGTAATAATTTTTCTTGCTTCATGGTCTAAATGACTCGAACTAGTAATCAAGTCTTTTCAACAGAATTGGTGTTACTAAGTATCTCATTTTAGCGTTTCCGAATCACGTAACTAAATTGAAGAAGTTTATTGAAATGGAGATGTCGGAAACTTAGAGCTAGAAGAAAATCAGCTGTTCAATAACCAAGCTCATGTAAAAAGAACTGATCATTGTACTCAGTTCTCACGAAAAGAATGGGTCTACTAGACTCAATTTTTAAAACAGAACAGGAAACTGTCATAGGTCTATTCATGTGCTGTCTACACATTTTCTTTTTTTTTCAGTTGTGTATTTGCTGTTATCCTCCATATGAGATTCTTGGTCAGAAGTGAACTGAATTTTAAAAATCCAGTCTCTCCATGGATGAAGAAACCAATTTTATAAAAATTAACTTCTGGAGCACTCTATCCATGAGTTCTACAAGATGTCAAAAAATATCGCATGAACATCTCTGATTTCACCACTAATATGCGATGAGAAAAACTAAAGTTATGTAATAAAAAAAAAAATACTAATTTTAATTTCTTTCCTTGTTAAATATACATATAGAGGTTCAATATTTTCCTACCTATGAACTATGTCTATAGCAATTTGTATATAAAATACTTTAAATTTGAATGATGCAGTTCTCTATTTGTTCCGACTAATCATATTCACATAAGGTTTCTTTTCTTGTTATACTGAGAAGCATTTCAACTTGATTAGTTTATTATTCCAAGTTCTCAATGTTCTCACATTCTCTCACCAAATCACCTGGATCATTAAAATATATAACCACATATATATATATATATATATTTATCCTTATTTATGAAAAGTTAATCATGGTTATTATTGACAAATATATAATATAGAAATATCATACGTATACATATATGTATATATATATATATCGAATCCTTATAATATTCATTTGAGCATTTCATCATTTCTCGAAGACAATCATATGCATATAACATTTATAAGCACGAGCCAAAGTAATCAGCATTCATTTCTATAACAGTCAGGTGTACTTAAACCCTCGAAGGCATACATCAAATTGAGTTGATGAAGTCTTTCAATAACTGCTTATACACCCTACAAGTTTTTCTTTCTGTTTTTATGCTATTTCAATACGCAATACATACATTGTATATTGCATTTAGATGAAGGTGATTACTGGTCTGCTATATTTTCCTTTTTGGCTTCTGTTGACGATAATGTTAAACGTTCGTATATGTATGTTAAAACATAGTCAATAGTACCTTTCTGTTCATTCTTTAATATAACACTAGATACTGTATTTAATTGTTTATTCTGCAAATGGAGTGACATTAAAATAAAAGAGGTTAAAAGAAAAAAAAGATAATTCAAGTTATTAGTATTTTTTCATATAGGTATATATATATATAAAGATATATACACATCGGTCTTTTCTTTTCATTCGGCCAATGACTTTTTAACACGACCATGATGAATTTGAAAGGTTTCTCTATGCATGATAGACTAAGGTTTCAATAAAATTCAAAAAATTATACAAGAAATTCTTCATCATCATTCAATCGACATTGAATAAGCAAGTCAGAAAGTAGACAAGAGAAGAAAAAAAAACGAAATAGAAAATAAGACACATGACAAGTTTATTTCATCCAAAATTATTTCTTGATACAGATTTAACTTATTGTCATCTACGAGATTCAACAAATAGGTAAGCATTTTGAATAATATTCATCTTAAAATAAATATGATGAATAGTTAGAATAGAAACGGCACATCTTCTACTTTGTTTTATGTTCAAAAGTCAAAGTGAATACACTAGAGACTTGTATGAATATAAAAGAAAAACAAAAACAATACAACAGTCACTCTACTATTGTCTGAAATGTATTTTAAATAAAAGCAAATATTCTTGAATGAAAGAATAAGATGATGAATTTTTGATCAAATAGAAATAATAACATAGATCTTGATATATAAATCGAAATAGATTTTTTTAAGAAAGAAGATTTTGATAATAAAGAAAGAAAAAAAAAGAAAAGAAACCTAGCAAATGATCATCTTCCTTTTTTTTCTTTTTAACATATGAAATCGATATATATCGAAACCTTTTCGATTATTCTTTTCGAATATATAAGAATCTCACTCTTTCATTCTACTCATACTCATTCTTCTTTTTATTTCATACAAGAAATTTAAACTAATTGTAAGTATGAATATGCATATTCATTGATATCCATTTGTTCTTAATTAATTAAGCTCGATTGATTTTTTTTTTTCTTTATATCTTTTGAACATTCATATCAGAGATAAACTACCGTTAGTCATTTAAAAGAATAAAAAGGATTAGAATGATTATGACACACATGTGTAGAACTATAATAAAAAAGAAAAACCATGGCGGCTAATCAACATAGTGAATGTTTTATTGTGCAATTCAATCTGATCCCGCCTTAATTTGAACTTATTCTAGTAGACTGATCATTACAAGAACGAACAGATCATTTGTATTGTTATTCTATCGAATTGTTTATTCACATCATCAGCAAACATGTAAACTACTCAATAGATGATGATGATGATGATGATCATATTATTGACTTTATAAAGAGAAAAAAAAATCTTTTATAAAAACTTTTTCAATGAATAGTAAACAAATACTTCGAAAAGTATAGAGATAGATGATATGATGAATAAGTAAATATATACGTGAGAAATGAAATATGATTTCATATTTTATTACTTGATTAGATATGTATATCATTTATTTTATTTTTTTTTTCGTTTTATTTTAATGATAATTTCAATTCTGATTCGTTATTGAATATTTTTTATTCTCAACCAATTGCGAGAAGCAAATGTAAAAAAAAAAAGAAATGAGAAGAATAACATTTCATTATATGTTGTCAAACAACATCATTAAGACCATTGCTTGCTTCTAATAGGTTCGGTTCATCATCAATCTCAAGAAAAAAAAAAGACTGAGAAATTTTTTTTCTCCCGCTCTCTTTTTCTCTCTCTTTTGCTTCGTTTTCTTCTGTTCCTCTTGCTTGATTATGCATCTCATTCGAATAGGTAGTAGGTCTTCTTGCACTAGAGAGAAAAAGCAAAAAAAAAAAAACCTAATACAAACATTAGGATAGAAGAAATTCTATTCGTCAATTGTGATTAGTTGTGTTTTCATGTAATAATTATAACGACAACTTGACTCAGTCTTTGAATCTCTAAAACATAATGACAGCAGTCAATTGCACCAACATGGATTCGGCTACAGTTGATGTTTCATCATCACTATGGCGTACTGTCACTGATCCTTCTCCATTTGATGGGTAAGTTAAAATAGGAAAAAAAAAACTTCAAAGAACTACTTCCATCCCTTTTTTTTCTATTAAGATAAATCCATTGTTTCTTATCAGTTAATTCAAAAACAAAAAAAAAATTTTTTTTTTTATGTTTAGTAGTTTTATTTCATCTTGGCGCGATCATCACCACCCACATCCACATGATTTAGTTGTACATCATGATTACACACCGTTTCGATTTTCTGATCCACACCATCACTATCATCATCATCATTATGATCCAACATCATCTTATTATACCGACACACCTATGGATTCCTATGGATCACCAAGTGCTGCTGCTGCTGCTGCCGCTGCTGCATCTATGTATTCTCCATATATGGTACATCATCATTCGCCACCACCAACAAATTCTAATTCACCTTCAATTAAACCTGAAACAGCTGTTACGGCTGCTGCATTACAATCTGCATTAAGTTTATCAGCACCAATGAATGTTAATGTTTCAATGAATTTTAATGCTCATAATATTCAATATACAAATGGTTATAATATTCCAACAGCATCATCATCAACAGGGACAACAACAAATTTACCTTATGAACCATTTTATAGTTCAAATCGTCATCAAACAACATCACCGTATTATCATCATCATAATTCAATTCCATCAAAAATTAAAAATCGTTCGGATCCGACAACAATGAAACAAGCAATGCTTCTATCAGCGACTGGAAATTATGATTATAAAGGTTTATCAAAATTATGTGATTTTTTTCCAACACCATCATCATCATCATCAACAACATCAAATGAAAAGCGAAAGTATAAACATTAGCTTGTTTTTTGTTTCATTCATATTCAGAAAGATTTAATTTTTTTTTTTTTTTAGTTCTTGGTTACAAACTCCATCAACATCTAAAACATCACCTAATAAAACTAATGAAGGACGTATAAATCGTTGTCGTATATGTGGAAAAGTCTATGCTCGACCAAGTACACTTAAAACTCATTTACGTACACATTCTGGTGAAAAAGTAAATTTTCTTCTTTATTAGAACAAAAAAAAAAATAAAAATAAAAATTTCGATTTTTTAATTTTATTCTTTTAGCCATATAAATGTGATAAATGTTGTAAAGCATTTACACAAGCAGCAAATTTAACAGCACATTTACGTACACATTCAGGTGAAAAACCTTTTTCATGTGATATTTGTGCAAGAAAATTTTCTCAAAGTTCATCAGTAACAACACATATGAGAACACATTCAGGTGAACGACCATATCAATGTAAATATTGTCGAAAAGCTTTTTCGGATAGTTCAACATTAACAAAACATATGCGAGTACATAGTGGAGGTAAGAACTTGTTATCTCGGTTTTTTTTTCTTTCTTTGATAAAAACAATAATATCTAGTTTTTTATTTTTATTTTTTGAAGAAAAACCTTATGAATGTTCATTATGTCGTCTTCGTTTTTCACAATCAGGAAATTTAAATCGACATATGAGAATACATATGAATACTGGTAATGGACATCATTCGAAATAGAGAAGAAAAAAAAAAAAAGAAATTGACAATCTTTGTTTTTTTTTTATTGTTGTGGCCTTTTGATCTACTTTTCTTTTTTTTGCATTGCTTACTTTATATTTTTCTTTTATTGATCCTTTTCTTTTTTTTTTCCAATGAAATTTTCTATGATAGAAAACGAAAAAAGATCAAATATACATATGTAATTTAATGAATAGAATTATTTTTTTAACCAATAGGAAAAAATTTTCTTTGAAATGAAGTATGAAACAATAATTAATTTCGTTGTTAATATATTCTTTAAAAGAAAAAAAAAGAAGAAGAAATAATCGAATTTTATATTGATTAATTTCTTTGTTGAATCTAGAGGAGTAGACTTTATTTGCTCAAACTATATATTCGTTGCTATGACCATTATATGATTGTTATAAATAAAGTTCGAGAATAAAAGACATTTTTTTTTATAATGAATTTCAATAAAATTTACTGTTGGAATGAAAAATAGTGGAATTGCATCAATAATATGGAAAAAGTCAATTAGAGAAAATTGAATCTTAGTCAGCTTGAAAATATTCTATCAGAAGTCTTTTTTTAAAAGCAGCAAGATCTTAAAAATGATATATTAATTTATGATTTAATATTATGAACAAAATAAAAGTGATTTGTATACGAACAAAACATTAATATTTTATGCAAAGGTTAGATTTAACAGATAAACAATGTGAATGAAACCATTATCAATTTTAAAATAGTGCATAAAATTTAATAATTGCAAAGTTGAATACGGTTTCATCTGAGAGTAAGATTGACGAGGGAACTATTCGAAGTGACTCATCACTTTTGAGATCATATTTTCGATATATAGAGAGAGGATCTCTGGATTAGAATAACCTCAAATCTATTCGAATCCATAGGCTTTTTCTATAGAGTTACGAAAGTTTTGTTGAATTTTTATTATAATAAGCGATGCAAAAGTCTTTGAAAAAATGTTGAGCTGCATAGCTCAGCCATTTGAGAACATAGAAAGCTAATGACTTTTTTTTATTAAAAAGAGCTTGATAAGTACTACAAAAAAAATGTATTTAGAAAATTGAATACAGTCTGTTTCACCACATAGGTTGAAGGTTCTTCCGAACACCTTCTATCATGACTTGCAGCACTTTTTGATCAAGTGTTTTTACCTTTTCTTTGATTTTTCAAACCAAACGATCAACAATTTTTGCTTCTCAATTATTTTCATATATTTTAAATTCAAGTAGAGTCCATACAATTTCAATCGGACGAGTTTGAGATACAGTTAGTAGATTGTCAGCACGAGATATAAATGATATGTTTTTCTCATTCAAACTTTCTTGAACAACATTTGAATAATGTACCCTTGCTAAATTGGACCAGAACGGATAATTTTCATTCCAATGATATTTATCAATAAAAGGCAACAGTCTTTTATTAATACATTGTTTTAAATATATGTTTCTTGATCGACAGCTTCCTTGCTTTTGTGAATATAGCAATCGAAATGATTACTTTTGGTTCAAATTTTGCTTTCTTTTGAAATTTGATGTTGGAAGGGATTGAAGCTGAATCGGTTGAATAGAAATAGAGATTCCTGATGACATTGTTTCCGATCAATGTGCAGTATTTTTCATCATCCATGATTAAATCATAGCCAATTAACAATTCTCAATATACTTCGCCACAATTTTTTCGTGCTCGAATTTGTTACTGTTCGCTATCCTTTTTTAAAATTTTTCGATGTTTTCTTATGACAATTGAAGTTCATCTTTGAAGGTTACGTGAAATTATTGGCTAGTGTATCAGAAATCGTCATGCCATTTAATGTTGACTTAGACCGCATCGATTGTTCATGGATTTAACAAATAACATTCAAAATCTTGTTAGATAATTTGACTAGATGACCACTTCGGGGTCAACCTTTTGCGGTTTTCCATTTTAAATACTTTGTTACTACATAACAGATCGTACTTTGTGGAGCATTGTGCTTTTTTAAAATAATTTATCGTAGTTTTCACAGGATTATTAGAAGATTCATAATAGAAGTTGCAAATACGTTGTGTCAATACTTTTCTTTAGTCATGTGTCATTTTTGTTATGAATGAATAATAATCATGTATCATAAATCGTTGGAAAAAGGACTGAACAAGTTACCAGCTGATAACAAAATGTTCATGCTCACGTATGCGCGTCAGTCTGAAATAGTGCTGGACATTTTTCCGAAGATTTTTACATCGCTTATCAGGACAAAGTATTGACAGAAAAATTAAACGAAGGATTTGTTTTTAACGTGAAAATTTGTCACGAAGTAGAAGTCTCGTGATCATAGGAATATCTTTTAAGTTTTAGTTAAAATAATTGCTTTAATATTGAGTTATTCAATCTTTAAAAGATCCCGATTTTTCCGACTGCTTCTGAAATTCAATGAATCTTTTTAGGTTTTTGAATAATTTAATATAGAAGCCATTGTTTTGGTTGAAAATTAAAGGATATTTTTAGGAATATGGAACCTACTTCTAGACGAAAATTTAGACTGAATATCTATTTTTCTGCTAATACTTCATCCTATGGTAAAAATTCAACAAAACTGCCGTAGCTCTATACAGAAGACCTATTGAATAGTTTGAGCGGTTCCTCTCGTAAGTCTTATCTTATCGTACCTTCTCACATTGCTACGTTGATACTTTCGCATTTATGTAATACAGTTAATTTTGTGAGTTCTTTGAAAAAAATGAAGCAAAAGCCTAACTGATAAAAAGGAAAGTCAATGATCAGTCAGACAAATTGAACAGTTATTAAGAATATATTGGTATGGAACTGTTCGAATTGATTCAAATGTATCCAGTTAAACGAAAACAAAATCGATCAGATTTGCTATCTTTGACAACGATATACTAATTTTCCTACAATCTCCTCAAACTTTTATCAAGCATATAGAAATCAAAATGAATTTTCAAATTATTGATTTTCTTAATTTAACATTGAATTAATCCATCAGAAAATTATCATAAGTTGAATTATGATTTCTGTATTATTTAAAGAAGCACAAATTTGATCAAGATTATTTTTTTAAAAATTATCACAGCACCGAAAACATAGATTGAACGACTAATATAAAAAAGAAAAAAAAAGAGTGATTAGAAAAATCTATCAAGTTGTAGGAGTAAATGATAAATGTGAATTATGTCTACTTGTTGTAGATGTTGGAAATTGTTGTAAAATATTATTAATTTTCTCTTGTTGTGTTTTTAAATCTGCCATATATCGATTAAATTCATTATATTTCGTATTTATTTGTGCATGAATATTTGTAATCCAATCAGTTGAAAGTCCAATTCCACCTGCACCAAGCGTTGTTGTTGTTGTTGATGATGATTTTGTTTTATCATCAATTTTAGGTAGATTTATTATATTCGTTGTTGTTGATGATTTTTGATCTTGATTACCTACTGTTTGTATTAAACCACGTTCTTCTAAACGAGCAAGATCTTTATCAAATGATGTTCGAGTTTGTATACGAAATATTTTATTTAAAAGTTTTTGCCAATATAATGTTTGATATGCCATTGTACTAAAACGACGAATTGATGAAAAAAATTTTCGTTGTGGCAATTTTCTTTCAACATCAAGTGTTAATTTAACACGCATTTCTAAACGTTTAAGTCTTGCTAGACGCATAACAGTTGCTATATCATCAACAGCTAAACCAACTAATAAATTCATTATTATTATTGACATAACAATAATAAATATTATAAAAAAGAAATATGTTATACCAAAATAATTTGCATCATCACCATGAAATATTCCTAAAAGAGAAAAAAAAATAAAGAAATTTTTATTGGTTTTTATGAGATGATCATTAAATGATTTAGATAGATTTTTTTGAAATATGTTTAAGGATACCTCCTCTTCCTTGCCAAAGCATACTTGGGACTAGTCGGATTTTTTGTTGACCGACCAGTGGAAATTCTCGACTTAATCGCCGAAATGTCGATGCGTTTAATATAGCAATTAATCAATCAGTTCTACGAAGGCATACAATGTAAAACTCATATTAACTCTTGAAGTTTCTAACAGTAACTTCATATGTGCTAAATAAAGAACGAACGAAGATTTCTTTCAAAACATTTCATTTAGGAACTCGCTCATAGCAACTAATATGAGACAACATCTATACTATGCTTTGATTGGCTTTTTTCAATAATAATATGATTTCTTTACAATTGATAAGTTTGATCTATTCTTATTTGAAATATTTGTTTAACGTATCTGCAAGGCATCTCAATTCGTAAAAGGATATTATTATCGACGAAGGATAACATGAGATAAAACGTACAGGTTTTATATTAGACTGCCTATTTTAAGTTTCTTAATATCTAAATATTTTCATGATTGCATAATTCTAGTAGCTGACCAGATCTTGACAACAGGACGAAATTTTTCTGATATTTTGTAATGAAAGCATGAAATGAAAACTACTACCTATTGAAATTTTATGAGAAATGATTAAAACTAATCCAGAAAAGTGAGCTCAAAATTTCGAAGTAAAAAATCTTTAGTTTAGACCAAAATAAACTTCTAATATCTGACTAACTTTTCGTGGGCATAATCAATTCATTCAGCATGATCCGAGACTCTCATCGTATGATGGAAAAGTATTAGCTCAATATTTAGAGCTGAGATTTCGATAACGACTGGAAATTTGTCAGTTGAAAGCTTCTAGGCTCACATCTTTTGATCATTAAAACCATAGAAATCGTTAAAAACGAGCAACATAGGTCAGCTTTAGTGGATCAAAAAAAAACCAGTCGTTTTTAAATTAAAGACTTTCTCTGTTGTTCGTATTCGTTGATGAAATTAAGAATTTATCAACTTTATTGTTCAAATTGATTGATATCGAATAAATAGTTTATTTATAATAACAGTATGAACTAACGAATGCGTCAGAGTAAACGTTTCTCTAAGTATTTTCTCAATATGGTCGACAAGGTTCATCACTATGC